CTCTCTCTTCCTCCCCCTCTTTCTCACTCTCTGGTGGCTTTACCAGGGCCTTGAATTTTGCGGGCGCTCGAGGTGCGTCCAATCCTCCCGAGCCGCAAAACACACACGACATACCCGAGAGCTCTGCCCAAAGACCCGTCACCCAGCTCCATCTCCCGATTATCCCACCCCAGCCAGACACCCAGCCCCACCCACCTGGCTCCAAAACAGACCCGCGGGTCGGGAAGTGTCCGCCAGCTCCTGTAAGCCCTGCTCTAATGCCTCCAGGCGCTTAGCCAGCTGGGGAGGGTAAGGGAACAGAGTTTCCGTACGTGGGTTTGGGGCAGTTGACGGAACCAGCAGGGCAGCGTAATATTGCGGAGGGGAATTTATATGTGAAAATCAGATGGGAGGGCTGCTAAGCCGGGGGTTTGGGGGGAGGGGTGAGAGGAAGCGGCGGTCTTCTGTGGGTTTTGCAGCGAGGAGAGCAGGCAAAGAGACGGGGTACACCCGGCGTGGAAGAAAAGAAGAGCGGTGTAGGTTCAAATAGAGTGTTGTGTTGTGAGTGAGAACTTTGGCACCTTGCCAATCACGCAACCCAAAGTTCTCACTTCTGGAGGGAGAGACGTGAAAGCTTAAGGAGCAAAAAGGAAACGCCGAATGAAACCCGCGTGCCGCGTGCCGCAACCCACAAACCCATAAACACTTGCCCGTAATTCTGCCACCTCGGCCCGCAGTGCTGCATTATCTTTCTGACATTGATCCACCTGCGACGGTGTTATGGAAACGTTAGGATGCAGGCTCGCCAGCAGCTTCACAGTGGAGGTGATGGGACGCCTCCGGCCTCAAAACCCAGTCACATTATCCAATTTCGCCAAAGCTAGAAGTAATAGATTCCCAAGATTCTACCTTGGCTGCAAGGGTCAAGAATGCCTTTTGCAGCGGAGTGACGTCGAAGTCAGCATCTCCATTCTGCACGTCATATGCCATCTTATAATGTTCTGAGGAGAATTATGTTGGTTGTTGGAAGAATCACTTGTAATAATTGAAATTTCTTTCGCTTAATGAGAACGTGACGTTACTGTCTTAGAGTTTATCATTGTTGAGGAGCATCAAACCAAACATGTCAGCTGCTAGCAATTGTCAACCACGGTAAGAGTTGTTTTGTGCTGGGGTACACTGCGCTTGAGACCAAGTTTCGATGTACGGTTGGTGTGTACAACACCTTGTTACCTATTGTAACCCCCATAGTTTCTGAGTCTATCAGGTCCCATACTTTGAATACTGTAATAGGTCAATTCTCACCTTTCTTGACGGATTTCCTGTATGCACGATGCCCTTTACAAGGAACTGAGCTCCTTTTTCTGCAGTCGATTGTATCATACGCTTACTTTCTTGCGTCATGTTGTACGCCTTCTCTTCCGTATACTTTTTCGTGGCCCATAGGGTTTGTAAACATGGTGCAACGGAGACTTTTCATTAAGTCGTTTGATGCGTCCTGCAATTTGGGCTACTTATGTCTCATTTCTACCATCAGGCAAACAGAGCGTCGGGGATAAACTTGTTTGCGCTCCCACGTATTTTCCACGTATCTTCTCTATGTGCCGGGACGGGAGGCTTCTACTACCCCAATATGCCCGGTGAAATGCCTGCATTGTCCTACTTCTGACAAAAGCCTCATCGCTATCACCTTCGGACTGGCGGATGCGCTAGACGTTGGCGCTTTAACAGTCGCAAATCTCAACTGCCCATGACGACCACGATGTCCTATTGATTTGAGCAACTAATCCAACACTCCTTCTTCGGAGGCAACGATCCAAGTTCCTGCCAACCTACCAATCCTGTCTCGTCGCAAAGACTGTGCAACATTGCCGGTCAAGCACTCATATTTCGCCCTATTTCCACCCGCACCCCAGCTGCATTCAACGTACCGGGTCCTACGGGAAAGCACGTTTCCCCACCCTTACAAAACACGCAGCCTACCCTGTCCAGAAAAGCAGCGACGGAACCATGGTGGCACCTCTTATCCTTCTAACCTTCCCACCCAACCTCCCTCGATCCGAAACACACGCGTGCCCATCCCCACGCACATAGAACACCACCAACAGCACACAAGCTAGCCGGTTACAGCTCCCCTAGGCCCGGCGGCTACTCATCAGATGGCGCTACGCCGCTTGCCGCCGACTCCACCGTCCGAGACTGCGATCCAATAAAATTAAAAATACAAAAGGCAAGTGAAGAAGGAAATCAGAGCTCAGCAGCAGCCGTGGCGATTGGGAACTTACTTCACAAGGAAAATAGAAATCACAGAAACATGCCTTCACTTCCATTCACTTCCATTCATTCAAAGTGCATGTGTACACACACGCACGTTGTGTACATGCCGCCATACTCACCGGACTTGGTGGTGCCCGCACCGCCACTCGAGGTGCGGCCGCGGCCCGGGGCGTAGACAGCAGTGCCGTCGGCATTCCTGTTGCGTACACGAATGTGTTTTTGTGTGCGCGTGTGTGTAGGTAAAGAGAGTGAGTTAGCGCGCGACTGAGGAGTATGCGACGTATGGCTTGGTGGATTAATAGGTTGCTGGTGGCGAATGGGGTGCGTGGGTGGGTCAGTGAGGAGTGAGGGGGGGGGGTGCAAGAATGCCACCGGCATTTTTAAAAGACTGGCTTCCCAGCTGCAACATTCAAATGCCTGTTGGCGATCCTCTTCGACAATATGTCCAAGACACCCGGCCCAGCGTCTTTTCGTGGAGAGGGTGGGTGGGGGATGGTGGGGAGGGTGGATGGGGTTTCCTAAACAAGTACAAGGCTTCGAATGAGAACTTCCGCCGAGAAGACCGTCAAGACAGGTCCCCTCCGCTCGGGACACACATACACGCACACACACACACACACACGAGATTACACGTACATCTATCACACCACGTGTACTTTTCAAGCTGTGTCCTCGAAACCCTTGCTCTGCCTGTGTCTGTCTATCTGTCTATCTGTCTGTCCATCCGTCTGCCTGTCACCTCAGCGCGCAGCTGACGCCATTCTCGAAGCCCCAGAGCCGGCCCAGCGAGTCAACGGAGTTGGAGCTGACGTTGGCGCTGCAAGTGGGCGCAGCCTCCCAAGAAACTGCCGCCGCGCAAGGAGAGAGGGGGGAGAGGGGAGGAGGGGGGAAGAGGGCAAGAGAACACAGAATGCGCAGGGAAATGAAGCGCAGTGACACATACCCGGCTTGGGGCTTTCTTCCCCTCACCACCAAGCCCATAGGCCCCCACATGCATTCACCTACATACGCACCTACATACGCACCTACATACGCACCTACATACGCACCTACATACGCACCTACATACGCACCTACATACGCACCTACATACGCACCTACATACGCACCTACACCCAACCAACCGCCTGCAACCACACCGTCCCCGGGTTCTATCATTTCTATACCCAGCAGCCCCCGGGGGACTTACCCACACCACGTGCAGCGGCCGCGGTGGCGTTCGCGGAGATGTTGGTCTTCTGCCCCTCCGGAGTACCAATACACACCTTGTACTGCTCCGTGTCTTTGGCGTACACGTCGCACTCACTGCGAACTGTCTGGCCTGCTGCGGCCACGGAGGCGCCCTGGAGTCGCAGCGGATGAGTCGCAGCGGATGAAGGAACGCATACAGAAAATCATACCTCGCGACCGCGGCCCATCCGGCTAATCGGCTCATGTAACAGCACGACAGAGACAGCACGACAGAGACAGCACGACAGACACAGTACGCCCCACGCCACGTACCTGACCCACGGCAGTAGCAGGCTGACCACCCGTGGATATGGCGGCTGGGGGCGGCGGGGCATTGTGAAGCAAAGCCGAAAGCGCCGGGGGCAGGGTCGAACAAAGCGGAGGGGGCCGCCGAGGTGGGTGCAGGGCAGCGCAGGTCAGGGCCCGGGGACCGCGTGTGGTATCGGGCGTGTGTTTTGAGCATGTCAGCGGCACTGCGGCAGAGCGTGACTGTTCCCCGACCCCCCCCCGCGGATTAGTCTCTCCTCCGAATCGCGAGTGATGCCAGCAGGATGACGATGCTGGCGGTGATAGATTAACTCCCCTGGGGCTAAACTCTTTTGTCAAGGACTCACTGGATTTGACGTTGGACTCTGCCGTGCCGCCGGGCGCCGCCTCCGCGCGGGAAGTAGCCACCGCCGTAGCCTGATGGAGCCTTCGGCCTAGAGGTGTTGCGAGGGGGGGGTTCGAGGTAAAGGACAACGGAGGGAAAATCCAGGCAACATAGCAGTACAGCAATTACGGCATATGCGACTTATACACGGGCAAGAAGAGATGTGGTGTGCGCATGCTGTGTATCAGCCCTGACAGCCTCAAAAGAGGCGCCAGCGGATTCATGAAGATTGCCGTAAAAAACTCGTGAAAGAGTTGGATTTTTGCGAACTGAAGGGCAGACACAAAAGATGTATGCTCGTTAAAGGTGTCTTCGTGCACATGCAGATTCTTTTGGATGCGCAAGAGCTATGTGCGCAGGCGCGCAGCAATTTTTGGCGGTGACTTTCGAGAGTGTCATAACTGCCCTCGTTGACAAGCTAATGCAGGTGTGTTAACCCTGTTCATGGTTTTGGGATAGGCGCGATTGTTGTCCGCCACGCCAACAGCAGAAGAAGCAAGGAGCAGCAGGTAACGGACAGCCCAGCTATCGCCATCCATTTTTCACTTTAAATGTAACGTCTCGGGAGGTGTCCTTTTTGTTTTTCGTATTTCGGAGACATTCTGTTCGTCCTGTTGTCTTACCGCTAAATTGTGCCGTTGCGGCGCTCGCTGTCGGTGCCGCAGCAAGCAACGCCGCCGCTAGCAGCGCCAATAAAGCGCGGACGTACGGGCCCGTCATTATTTTGGAAACTTTACTGATGAAAGTATTTACACTGTCTCGGAGGAGACGGCTTTGCTCAATTGCTGTGTTGCGGGATAGCAGCAATAGGAAATTCGTCCGGCAAGTATCTTGTGCAGTCTTGCGTCTCTGTTCGGCAGCTTCAACGTATATGGGGTAAATTGAATATTTTAAGACTTATGTGTTGTACCGATGGCACTTTCAAGCGATGTAACGTCGATCGCTTCCCCTCATCACGTCAGAGGGCAGGTTCCGAGTCCGCGCGTCCAAGGCCTTTTGCCAACTGCACCCAACTTCTTTGGGTCCGAACTACATGATCTTAGTTATCCGGAAGTTTAAACCTGCATAAATGCTTGTCGTGTCAGAAACTGGAAAGCGATCAGTACCTTGCTCCAGACTTTGTCGAATATAGTGCACCGCGGGTCGCGGTTTGCTCCAGTACAAGGATTTGCAGCAAAATTACGTGCATTTGAGGAAAGCAAATTTATAGATATTTAATATCAGGTATACAGGTTGGCCGCTTTGTCTTACCAGCTGTCCAGTCAAGTCAACACTTGGGACATTGTTTGCGCTTCGTCACTGCTTCGGAAACCATATGGCTCTGCGATCTCCTGGTGCGACCTCGTTTCACTATTCATCTGTTAAGCTTTTTTTGCTTATTAATATATATTTGTAGCAACCATTTGCCACTGGAGGTGGCCGCCACCTCGTTCTGTGCGGCCAACGTGCTGATGGACATTTCGTTCGCGTTCCCGTCTGCTGCTAGCCTCCTACATTTTGCAAACGTGTTGAAAATGTTTTAAGCGTTCTCGTTTGTCCTGCAACTTTCGCTAATCCGCAGTTGGTCTCAAGATCCAAGCAATGAACACCTGCGGCCCTGACCGGTTCGCCGCTTCGCCCCGGACAATCCGCAAACACGCAGTCGTAATCAACAACAGATTACAAAGCCAAATATCTTTGAAAATCCAGATCCAAAACCGACAACACGCTTTAGCCCTCCCCGCGGGCGCCTGCGATGTCGTCGCCGCTGGGAACAGCCGCCGCGGTTGCCGCCGCTGCCCCACCGTCGCGACAGCCAGCTTGGCTCCCTCAACCTCTCACTCTCGAGCCACATGTCGCATTTTATCGGCCACCACCTCCATCACCACCACCAGCACACCACCATCGTCTGTTAGGTCACTGGCGGGGAAGCATCTCGGGTCGCAGCGCAGCTCGCTGCTGCGAGCACGACAGCTGGGACGGCGGACACCCGTACGACCCTGTACGGGACGTTCCGCAGTTGCTGTATCCGTGACTGCCAACCTGTTTTCTAGAGTATTCCGGATTATAAGGAGCTTTTTCAACGGCTTGGTGGAAAGTTTCGAAGACCCCGAGGTGATGATTGCGACTAATGCAGCTGGAGGTGCTAATGCTGTTGTATTGCTGCTGCTACTGCTGCTACTGCTGCTACTGCTGCTACTGCTGCTACTGCTGCTACTGCTGCTACTGCTGCCGCAATGCAACTTTTTCGGCTGGCTGAACATATACTGGCATTTTGCGTTACCTTCAGTTTTTTTTTATGCAAAAAATGTTTAGGTTCAGGTTCAGATTTCCTTCAGTCGTTTTTCTCGCCACACGTCGGCGGCAGAGTACGAACCTTTGACTAGGATTTTCCCTCGTTGCTTAAAAATGTAAGCAAGAAAGAATTTATCGGAAATGTCGATTCGAACTGTGGGCCGACCAAGTTTAAGTTAGGCGAGTGAACCCGCTAAAAAACACTATTTGGATCCTAAATCCGGACGATGGCCCCGATTTTGGTTTTGCAGAAGCTTTTGGATCGCGTGGCGGAGGAGATGCAAGAGGACATGGTTCGCATGCGCCAGGTGGGGTGGGGGCGGGGGTGGGGGGGGTGGGGGGAGGGTTTTGCCGGGTAGCCGTGGTGGGGTTGCATAGGAGGTGGGAGGGGTAGTGCTCAAGTACGGCAGCAGTTTGGGAAGATGCTATAGTTGTTTAAAAGGAACACTGTTTAGATAAGAGCGCTGTTGTTCCCTGTTGTGACGATCGGGTGGTGGGGGATGGTGGGGGACAATCCCAGTGCCTCCCGATTTGCTACCCTCTTGTGTCCGTGCGCATCCGCGCCTTTTTTCTTATTTACAAATAAAACGCACATTGTTTCATCACATGCGGGCAATTGCGTTGTTGCTGTTGCTGCTGCTGCTGTTGTTGCGGTTATGTCGTAACTGTTTTTGTTGTAACTGTCCTTATCATCGTCATAATTCCTCATTTCTGCTTGTCAACCGTCAACCTTCAACCAACAACTAACAATCAACAAACTGTCAACCGTCAACGCATTAGGCAACCGCCCAAGTGATGGCCAGTCAGAGACAGTTGATGGCTAAACAGAAATCTCTCCAGGTGGGGGTTGAAAACTGCAGAGGGAGCGGAGAGGGCATTGTTGGCCGGGTTCCCCTGCTCTTCTCCTCGAGGGGGGGTGTAGGAGAGGTATTGGTGCTGTGGGGATGGGTACGGTGTCGAAGTATTTTTGGGGGGGATCCGGATGAGCATCACGGGCTTCGTGTTGCCGTACCTTACTAGAGTGTCAGTGTAACACACCGTGTTCCTATTTGAAGCGCCGCACATGTGTGTTTGTGTGTTTTTGTGTGTGTGTGTGTGTGTGTGTGTGCGTGTGTGTATGTACGGCCAGGGCAGTGCGGATCAATGGCTCTCCCGGGCTGAGCTGGCGGTTGCACGCGGTCAGGACGACCTTGCGAGGGAGGCGTTGAAGCGGAGGAAGGTACTGCAGGAGGATGCTGGTGAGAGAGGGTGGTGGTCAGGAAGGGGAGGTGGTGGGGCCCAGCGTGTATGTGTGTATGTGTATGTGTGTATGTATGTGTAAGAGGGGGGGGAAAGGGGGGAAAGACGATTGCGTTTGTGTGGGTGTTTGTGCGCGTATGGTGGGAAAGCAAAGATGTGTCCTCCAGCAGCATTGCAGGGTTGTGTTTCGCAACCCTGCTTTACAACCCCTGGTGGTGGAAAACACACAGCTTTATGACCCGCCCGCACCCCTGCCCCCCTGCCCCCCTACATTCCCCCCCTTCCCCCCCCCGCCTCCCTCCCCCCCTCCCCCTCCCCGGACGCCCCCCTAGATCGCATGAACGAGCAAGTGGCGCTCCAAACTAACGCCCTGGAGCAGCTGCAGGTGATGACGATGAAAGGGACCTACCTCCGGGGGGTGGTGGTGGTGGTGGCGGACAGACCAGTAGTGGCGGGAACACCAGGGGCGGCAATCCTGCGGTGGTTGTGCGGAGGGTGGTGCGGAGGGAAAGGGAGGTACTTGCGATATAATGAGGGTCTATTACTTGTTATTCTTGTTTTTCGGATTTTTGCTTGCGAGATCAAGTCTCTCTCTCTCTCTCTCTCACACACACACACACACAAAACCTACATCATCACATCTATAGTTTGCATGACAGCGGGACTTATGGAAAAAGTGGAGATTTCTTTTATAAATCATTTGGTGAATATGTGCCTGCCGTACTCTACTGCTGACGTACTGTCGTGCAATGTACCTTAAAATGCATTGCAGGCGAATATTCGGGTGCTGGAGGGCAAGATGACGGAGGCGCGCGGCAAGAAGGAGACGCTTAAGGTGGGTGGGCTTGAAGGAGGGAAGTGCGAAGGGGGGAGGAAAAGATGGCGGATGGCGGATATGGGCACGCGTGTGTTTGTAGTTCGATGTGTGTTTTACTTGCTTGGGGGAAGGGGGGAGGGGGGGAGGGGGGAAAACTTGCCGGAGGTTGCCGGAGCTGCGTTCAAACGTTTTTTGTTCGTTTAATAAATGTGTCACGCAAGGCGAAATGAAAAATAAAGTATTGGACAAAGGAACCAGGCAAAGAGGTTGTGAGACAAACGCGTCCGTGTACACAGCTCGCATGTACGACAAGTGTCCCTGCTCGTCCCGCTTCTCAGGCCCGTGCCGCATCCGCCAAGACGTCGCTGGCGTTACAAGAGATGATCGGCGGCCTACGAATTCGATCAGGTACAAAAAATGATTGGCCGTGTCGTATACTTTGCACGCTTGCATCCGTACACTTCCCTACACCCCATTAAGTAGATCTAACCACCTACCAACGAATGACACGCCCTGGTACCGTATCTCCATCCCTCCTGCACTCGCGAGGCAAATCACGACCCCGCAATCCCTCACTACCCCAAACTATGGCGCAACAAACACGGCACTAACACTGTTACATCACCACACGATTGACCATCAAGTCAATATATACTTTCCAAGAGACAGAGAGGCACACATATATAAGGCCTGACTTCTGCTCCCAGTCGACCCAGTCGACCCGGGTTCAAATCCGCCTGCCGGCTCCTCGGGTGTTTGAGGAGTGATGAAATGGGAGGTGGCCCCCCATCATATGGACGGTGTAGGACGTGATAATATTAACTTGCGAGCTGACCAGGAACTAAGTTGATGCGCCGTTGATCCGCTAGATTTGGTTGGATGCTGGTGGTGAGTTGTCGAACCCAACGAATACAATCCGAAGTCGGATGGGGTGACGGATTAGGGTGCCCCTCTAGCAGGGGAGAGCAGGGACTGCCCCGGGAAAGGGGGCCGCTGGCGAAGTTAACCACCCTGTAACAACATACATATGGTAACAAAAATTTTCATTTCTCGGCAATGCCGTACAGGCACCAGTTGGGCTGCGTTTGAGAAGATGGAGGAGAAGGTGGCCCAATTGGAAGCTCAGGCCCAGACCGCCCAGGCGCTGGTGGCGCCGGACTCCCTGGAGCGTCAGTTCGCCGCTCTGGAGGGCGACAGCGGCGTGGAGGCGGAGCTGCAGGCGCTGAGACAGAGCAGCAGCAGCACCAGCACCAGCACCAGCAGCAGGCAGCAAACTCGCGGTGAGAGTGCTGCGCGTTTCCTTGGCGGGAGTTTGGTGGATTCTTCAAATTTGAAATCCGATTTGATTCGCATTCCAAAATTGTATCGTAAAGGACATAAAGAACAACAAATCGCGCGGTGGATTGTGATCTTTTTTTGGTAAAAACATTCCTAACGTTGGTTATTGACTAAAGAACAACATGCAGCGCATGTTCTGTCAGGGAGCTCGTCATTCGCGTGCGGCCGTGTGTGCGAAGTAAATGTCCAGCCGGAGTGTGTGAAGGAAGAGTCAGCCGCAAATTAGAACCTGCGGTCCCTTCCTTGCTAATGCTGCTTTCGTTGCTCAAGCCTTCCCCCCACTTCTTTCCCCCCCGCCCCCCACACCCTTGCCCTGGCAGCAGCTTCAATCGTGTGTGGTTCGTCTTTCCCCCCGCCCCCCAACCCCCGCGGCGGCTTTGCAGGCACGCTGCCCCCCGCGTCCACCCCTCCTCCCCCCAACACCCCGCTGCCCGGTCGACCTCTTCGTGACGTGTTCGACCCATTGGAGAAGGAACTGGAGGAACTGAGACGTAGGGCTCGCGAACAATGAGGGCCTTATCCCCTGTTTTTTTGCGTTTGTCTGTATGTGTGTATGTGTAGGGGGAAAATGGTTGCGTGTAGTTGAGGTGAGGATGTGTGTGTGGTGTGTGTGTTTTGGATCGGCAGCTAGCCAATGCTGAAGGGCAGAACGTTGTTGCCGTTGCAGGTGGTGGTGTCTAACGGGGTGGTGTTGAGGGAGATGGAGGATTACGGATTGGAGGTAAGGTGGAAAGGATATACATGTGCCTGGTGGTGATGGTGGTGGTGTCGTGATGGTGATGGTGGGTCTAAATAACCTAGTACGTGGGAAGAGCGGGAGAGGGAACAACGAGAGGGAACGACGTCAATTGGTGTCTCGCCTGCGTCCTGAAGGGCGGTGGCGGTGGGTAATTGCGGGGCGGGGTTGGGAATGAACCTACGAAGCATGAAGCCGGATGGAGTTCAGCTCTTTCCACTTCGCGTTATCGAAGGACATCAGATGTCTAAGATCAGGCCATCTTGACAATCATCATATTGGGTGGGGTGGAGGAGGGTTTGAATGGTGGGGAGCTCAGCTAGTGGCAGGTCGGCCAAGGTGTGGCAGTTTGGCGGAGGGCGAGTCTCGGTGGATGATG